GATTGAGAAGCACTGTGCTAAATAGTTGTTCCCCTTCTGTCTCTGTCAATATTTAGAATCAGCGAGGTATTATTATGCCTATTTACATTTAATGCTTGGATTAAACTCTGTCCAGGCTATGGTTATAGGGTTATCGTGGGTTTGACTGATTTTCATTTATCAAGTACCTAGATTATAGTGATTTTCTAAATTATGATATTTTTGACAAAAACGGGGTTATTAGAGGAGCCTGGGTAAAGATGGGCAAAATTTTCACAGGGAAATAAATTCTGTACACTCAATGGTAATTACTAAAACATATGATCAAAATCAGATAAAAAAGCTGAAAGGATTTAAGGAGAGACTTATTTTTTCCTGAAATAAAGTGGCCATCTATAATTTAAGTGTTAAGTGTTTAAATGTTAAAGTGGTTAGTATTTTATATATTTAGTGAACAGTGTTTTTATATATTATATATAATGTGTTATATATTATATATACTATTTATGTAATAGTATATATGTTTTCTTCCTTTGACTAAAACAAGTATTTATTAGTCCTGCTTTATCTATCTAAATTTATAGTCTTCACTTACTGCTTAGTTTCAGTGATTTGTTCTGAAAGATAAATCATTGGAGGAGAAATATGAGAAGTAAAATATTTTCTTCTATTAAAAATACTAAAATGTATCCACCTATACACATACATATATAAAAGTGACTCTTCTACTTATCAGTTAGAGATTGGTGATATTTTTCCAGTTTCTACCCCAAAAGACACGTTAACTTTACATTAATGTATAGCATAGGCCAGTTTCCAGAAGGCAACTTCACATAATATGGATAAAATTATTTCCCATTAGAGTCAGGCTTGATGGTATATTAAAATGTGTTCTTGTTTTTAATATCCATTGAAACCAGAAGGTTATATTGATATGATTAGCATGTAAACAAACTGTGTCATCAGTTTTAAATAGTCATGGAAAAGCCTATGGTATGAGGTGTTCATTAAAATGTAAATCCTACTTCTCATAATCAGACTGCCGAGCTTGGATTGTAGCGTACTTCTTACTGGTTGTGTGGACTTTGGCACTTGCTGAGCTTTTTCTTGCCCCCAAAATCATCATTTATAAAATGGGGCTAGTAATACTAGCCTACCTCATAAGATCATTGTGAAGTAATAAGTTAGTACATTGTAAGTGCTGAATAAGTTTAGCTATTATTAGTATTACTGTAACTATTACGATGTGAAGGGTTTCTAGTCCTCTGTCGCATCTTCAGTAAAATAAAGAATGGGTTCTGTAAATGTGGAAAACGGCAGTAACAGAAGCATGGTGGTTACAGTGTTAGCATTTTCCCAAACTCACCCTGACCTGCCAAAATCACCTTTGATTCCTTGTCAGAGGATCTGTGTAAGTTAGTGTTAGACAAAATCTGGAGAGTTCTAGAGCAAAAGGAAACATAGCCTAGTATGCATGTATCTATAATAGAATTATTTTATCTCTTTCCTCTTTTTTTCTTCTAGAAAGAGCATGGGATTTCATATCAGAGAAACTATTCCAATCATGGCTCTGCCTCTTGTGTTAACCATAAAACCTAGAGTTAGGTTGGCAAACACTCTGTGGACCTCTCTTTTTTCCTGTGTATTGTGGGGCTTAGGATAACACTTTTTATTGCTGGCTAACTGCTGCTTACTTTAAAGCCTCTGCCAATGTCAGGGTGACTCTGAAACTTGCCTTGTCCCTCCCTGAGCTGGAGTGGTGTTGGTCTTCTGTCCTCTATCATAGTAATTTTCCACACCATTTATTTGCATTCTTGTCTCCCCCAGTAGATTGTGCATCACAAGCAAGTGCATCTCTGTCTTGTTCACATTTGCAGCATGCATACTAGGGCATCGTTGATGCTCAATGAAATCCTTAGCCATGAGAAATCAATTATAATAGCCATCTTAGCTGGTGGGACTCTTTCCACTGCTAACTTTGTTCAGATGGCGCAGAGGATGATGCTGTAATTTACAAAGCGACGTTATATCTAATTCTGGAGACTTGCCTGCTGCATCTCTCTGTGTGACTACATTCCTCAAAAGAATAAGGCACACCGGACAGGATTTCCTGGGCGTAGTTATGCTATTTATCATTTTCTCTTCTTTGTGTATTTTATGAATTGGAAAATTACAAGAATATTATACATCAGTATTGGGGAGCCCATGGGGCCAAATACATCAGTTTCTAATGTTTATGGGCTTTGGGCACATTTTCAAAGATCTGTGCTCATCTCCTGGTGTTCTTTCTGTCTAGCCCAACAGCATATTTGCCCTTTAGAAATGCAATTATGTGGAGACTAATTAGTGGACTATTGCAGTTATTTAGGTGACAGGAAAGACAAAAAGGGCTCCGATAGAGCCATAAAGATGGACCTTGAGGGGCAGAATAAAGTGTCTTAGAACATAAGAATTGATAGCTTTGGAGGCTTTATAAAACATGGAATCGTGAGGATAAGTGAAAAGTCAAGAATGATAATCAGGTTTCTGATTTAGCAACTGGAGTACATGGTGGTGCTGATGGTTGAGAGATTTTTTTTTTCTCTTAGTTCATTATCTCTTTATTAATCTTTTTTTTTGGGGGGATATTGTTTTCAAGGGATGTATTGATTTTGAAGTTCCAATGAGCACCCAGATTAAGGTGGTTCAGTAAACTGTTGAAAATAGATTTGGATGTCAGGAGAGAGTACAGTCAGAGTTTGAGCTACATGTACTCATAAGCATGATGTTATGTAGAGACAGTACTTATCAGGAAAGAGAAAAAGACAAAGTCTGGTAAAACACCAGCTTCTTTTAAAGGAATAAATGATGAAGAAGCACTTTCTTCATTCTCTGTAAGATATGGCCAGGGATAGAAGAGAACTCAAGGAGACTGGTTTTCCAGAAGCCAAGGAAATACAGAGTTTCAGGAAAGAAGATGAATTCAGCAGTCATACAAGTAGGTGCTACAGTTGAGTGGGTGGTTCACATAAACATGCTATGTTCAAGGTTTGATAGTTAGTAGAAATTTCATTATGACATCTCTGGAATTCTGGGAAAGTGCTTAAACTGGATTTAGGAGTAAATGGAATTTGAGCCATTGGACATGTACACCATAGACCATTCTTAAAGGAAATCTGACTTTAAAAGGAAGAGCCATAATAAGCAGTAGTCAGAAGTGGATGCAGGAATGAATAAAGGTTGCAGGGATATTTTTCTCCCTTTATGCTAACAAGCACATGAACATTTCTGTAGCTTAAGAGAAAGGAAGCTGTAATGGGGAAAAAGTTTGAAAATAATAAAGAGGAGCTCATGGAAAGATTTTAGCTCCTAAAAAAAGGTAGAACAGGATTAAATATTTGGATGGTATTTTTCCTCTGGTGTCATTAGTTTTGTAGCAAAGGAAAACCACCTCTTTATCTGAATCTGAAATGAAAGTGATGAAGACAATTAAGTTTGTATTAAGTTTTTAAAATGAGATATGTAAATGAGCTTAGTTAACTGGAAAGCATTTTGTCAATAAAATTATTGTTATAAAGAATATTATTCCTTTTTTGAAAAGTAGGTGAACGTTCTTTCTCTTTATCTGTTTTACTTGCTTTTAAGACAATTGAACATTTTCACACTCTTGAGTACTACAGGAAGCTTTGTTCTTTGGTTCCAGCAACTGAAAAAAAGTACACTTAACAGCAAAGCATATAAATTTTGTGATCATATTAATTGTTACTCAAAATTTTTAATAAAAATGTACATTTTTTTATTTATGTAAGTGATGTTAATGTGTTTTGGAGTGATTTGATCTTTTCAAATGACTTTTAACAAAGAGTATTAGAAATAATGAGGTTAATATGCGCTAATGATAGGAGTGAGCAACCTTTAATTTCAAAATAATTTGCTTTAGATATTTTTTTCAATGGTACCCATTAAATGGTAAGCCAAGTATTTTAAAATGCTCTACAAAAATGATAAGTTTTTATCAGTAGCCTTCTCATTTTGCACAGTTCCCTTTAAAGTCTTTGAAAGGCCTCAGCAGCTGGCAAGTAGAATCTGCAATTTGAGGTTGATAACAGCAGTACTCAGGCCCAATGGAGGTGCCGAGCATCTGTAAAATACTTGCTGATTACAAGAGAATGAGAGAAAGCCAAAAAGCCCTCTCTGAGAGCTTTTTGAAAGTAGTCCAATTCCCTGACACCTTATTTTCATAGATGTGATTATAATTGATTGTCATTTAGGTCATGAGAGTGGGGTCTGGAATGGCTGGGATAATCCATGTGGCCACTGCCTGAGGATGCCACTGCGGGGGCGGGGCGGGGNCGGGGCGGGGGCGGAGCCTGGCGTCAGAGGGCCTGTGGAGAAAAGTGTGTCTCACAACAGTGACCTGAAATGTGCCCATTTCTTGGAAATTCAACCTTCTTTGACCAAATCCAAATAATATGGAAATAACAATGAGGATAGGCTTCACTCTTTTTCTTTTTTCCTTTGTGGTATCTGATTAAATTCTGACTCTCTTCATCCTGTTGACCTAGATTACCTTTGCCTTCCAGGCAGTCAGGAGTCAGTATTTCCCAAGCAATATGGCGAGAGAGTGAGTCATCTCGTGTTTAAATATATAAATATATCAATACATATATAAACGCACACTACCTTAGGCAAGTTTCCTTTCTGAAGTGGTGAAAAAAAAGGGACGTGCTCCAAGAAGAAATCCAGGTGGTTTGTAATTCCAGTGGGAGAGAAAAGACCGCTGGAAGGGGGAAAGTTCAGTGAGGGGAAAGGGCTTTTTGAAAATACTTCTTCATCTTTTCTATTTTGAATGCAGCTGATCCCTCTCCAATATTGTCTCTCCTGAGGAATATATCCTTTTATTTAAAATTTATCTTTATAGTACCAGGTCAGCATTTTTATGGCCCCTTAGCTACTTTTAGTTTTGAAATATAAAATAAAAGTTTGTGGTTTTGCGTATAATAATACAGGCCTATCTCCACATTTCTGTTTTCCTCATGCAGAGGGCTACTTCTCCAGGAGAACAGTAGGTTTGCAGAAGCACTACATTATTATAAACTTGCGATCGGGAGCAGGCCTACGCTGGCTTGTAAGTAATATTCAAATTTTTTAAAAAACACCTCTTTCTTTTCTTCTTTATCCATGAAAATTACAGTAACGCCTTGGTTTGCGGGCATAATTCATTCCGGAAACAAACTACTCATATTGAAAGACATCACTCGTTTACCACGTTAAAATGTATTAGAAATGTTTGCTCGTCTTGTGGAACACTCGCAAACCACGTTCCTTGCAATCCAAGGTTTTACTGTATTTTTTACCTTACAGCCTCACAGAAAAAAACAAAAAATAAAAAAACAGGACTCCTATTTTTGAGTCCTTGCCCAATTATGTGCCTCTAACGGTTATATCTTTCTCAATTTAATCATTTTTTGATATCTTTATCATTTTTAATATATTAAGATAAATACATTTTTTTATTCATCTAGATTTTAAGCTCACAATATTTTGAACTCCTTGAGGGCAGACACTACCACATATCTATTTTCAGTGACCCCTCCCTTCTCATTACATTAATTGTTCCCATATATATTTGTTCCCTAAGTATGTATTTCTTGGTTTTCTTTGAAAATCAGAAGTAATCCAGAGACACTAAATTGAAGTAAAAATGCCTTTATTGTATCTACAGTGTAAATCATCTTCTCACATTTATATTTCCACTTTTTTCCCTAGCTGCATATTTAAACACCGGTATTATTCTGATGAACCAAGGAAAGACAGAAGAAGCGCGACGCACTTTTCTGAAGTGTTCTGAGATCCCTGATGAAAACCTAAAGGACCCTCATGCGCACAAGAGCTCGGTGACCAGCTGTCTGTACAACCTGGGCAAACTGTACCACGAGCAGGGCCACTATGAGGTCAGGCCAACACCTCGCCACCATTTTCCTTCCCCTTGTTCTGATCCAGTCTCAACGTTCTCTACCCTGTGGTATCATTGCAGGGACACTAGGATCATTTAACAAGCTCATATGTATTTTTATTAAAAGGATTTAATGGTGGAAATCATTTGGGAAAAATAAATAAAACAGTGAAACAAATGAACAAACAAAACAAACAAACTCATAGACAGACAACAGTATGATCGTTATCAGAGGGACGGGGAAGCAGGGAGGTAGAAGAGGGTAAAAGGAGTCAAATAAATGGTGTTGGAAGGAGAACTGACTCTGGGTGGTGAGCACACAGAGAAATATACAGATGCTGTGTTATAGAATTGTACACTTGAAACTTACATAATCCTATTAACCAATGTCACCCCAATAAATTTAATAAATTTTTCTTAAAAAGTCTCTGCTAAAGAAAACACTTTTTTTTTTTTTTGCTGTGAATTTCTCAGAACAACTCTTCAAGAAAGGGAAGCAACATGCATTTGCTTCTCAAGCTTATTTGCTTACCATCTCTGATTTTATAATCCAAGACACAGGATTATTATCTTTTCTCCAGTGTTTGATGTTTAAAAATACCCTGAGTATTAACATTTGCTGTAAATTATACCCATTTCATTAAATTCTTTTTGAAACAATAACGAAATAAAAATTAATGTTATGTGTTTTTACTTGGGAGAGAGGAAAACCAATGGAGATGGGACCTTATACAAGGCAAGTTGGGAGGCTGACCCAGCCTCCTCGTCCCTTTGTCTCACAGGAAGCACGTCTACACAGGTTTCTTCTCTCACCCTCAGTATCACCCCTCTCTCTCTCTCTGTCT